AAGTGAAAGTGAAATTCATCCTTTGTTTTTTCCTTTCCATTCACTCGGATCTCTTCCGTTTCATCGATTTTGTCCGGATCCTCCTTTTCTTCCGAAAAAAGGTAAGGAGAAGGATCTTCTTCAGTGGATCCCTCTAATTCCTGTTTAGTCCCCTTCGTTTCGGAAGTTGTTTCTATTTCTACATCTGTTTCTTCCGCACTTTCCCCCCTTTCTTCCGTTTTTGAGGTTTCTTTCAGTTTCTTAGTAAGAATGGGTGACGGTATTCTCCCTAAATAGTAGACACAGGTAATAAATAAGAGAATACTAAAGATCCGAGCCATAGAATTTCTCAATTCTGACACAAGGTACTTATTAGATCGAATAAGTGCATTCGATCTAATAGAATGATTTTGCCGTATCCAGACTAATACCAATCCAACCCATTTCATGAATAAAATGTGACCAATTAACCAACCAACAAAACTACTTGTTACAAATAACATCTTGTTGTTGCATCGAAACATATAAATGTTGACTAATCTGGCTAACATTGAACTTGGTAAAATGAAATGGTTGAATAATTGAAAAATGAGATTATTCAGGAATACACATTGAACGCTGAGATTACGCATTGAATTTCTGGTAGTAGATCCATAATCAAAAAAGTGTTTGTGATCACAAAACAAACACTTTTTTGATTATGGATCTACTACCAGAAATTCAATGCGTAATCTCAGCGTTCAATGTGTATTCCTGAATAATCTCATTTTTCAATTATTCAACCATTTCATTTTACCAAGTTCAATGTTAGCCAGATTAGTCAACATTTATATGTTTCGATGCAACAACAAGATGTTATTTGTAACAAGTAGTTTTGTTGGTTGGTTAATTGGTCACATTTTATTCATGAAATGGGTTGGATTGGTATTAGTCTGGATACGGCAAAATCATTCTATTAGATCGAATGCACTTATTCGATCTAATAAGTACCTTGTGTCAGAATTGAGAAATTCTATGGCTCGGATCTTTAGTATTCTCTTATTTATTACCTGTGTCTACTATTTAGGGAGAATACCGTCACCCATTCTTACTAAGAAACTGAAAGAAACCTCAAAAACGGAAGAAAGGGGGGAAAGTGCGGAAGAAACAGATGTAGAAATAGAAACAACTTCCGAAACGAAGGGGACTAAACAGGAATTAGAGGGATCCACTGAAGAAGATCCTTCTCCTTACCTTTTTTCGGAAGAAAAGGAGGATCCGGACAAAATCGATGAAACGGAAGAGATCCGAGTGAATGGAAAGGAAAAAACAAAGGATGAATTTCACTTTCACTTTACAGAGCCATCCTATAACAAACAAGAACAAGTTTCTTCTTATCGGAATAGGAATCACGAAAATTCGAAATTAAAAATAAAAGATTTTTCTTAGAGATTCAAAAAATAACAAAGAGTAAATGAATAAAAAGATTGATACATAAGATAAATACAAGAAAAGATAAGAAGAGATGCGCCCGCCCCCTACAGATTTGATACCTTCTCCTACAAAGAAACTCATAACACCAACTCCATTTGTAATTCCATCAACTACTCGTCTATCAAAAAAATGAGTTAATTCAGCCAAGCCCCTTATTCCCCCAGTTAAGGATCTTGCATAAAAAGCATCTATGTAACCACGATTATATGACCAGCTATATATGACATTTATTATTTTGTCCCAAAGAGTTCTCTTAGGACCTGTTTTAACAAATGAATTAATTAAGTCCAAATTTTGTAAAGATGAATAAAGAGGTTTATATAAAAAGGACGCTATAAATATTCCTAAATAAGCTATACTCACTGAAAAACCAGCATCTTTGACAAATTCATACCAACTTGTCGAATTATTCGAAGTTTCATGTAAAAGGTTTATAGAAGGAGTTAACCATTTGGATAATATATCCAAATCCACTCCTTTTTGATTGAAAGGAATTCCTAGGAATCCAACGAACAAAGTAAATAGAACCAATAGAAGTAGAGGGAATAACATAGTATTGTCCGATTCATAAGGATACAAATAAGTCTTTTTATTACCAAAATGGGTAATAGTCATGACAGGTTGTGTCCTGTTTCTTACATTCTCATCAATTCGGTATGTCTTTTTTGTTTTCAAAGAAGCATTTTGATTATTCATTCGTAATAAACTTAATAAATGAAAATTTGTGTTAATCCCTCTCGAATCCCCCTTTCCCCATAGAGATATTGAATAGAATGGAGTATTTTTTTTTCCACTATAATTTTGAAAATGAACGTTTAAATGCCCTTCAAAAGTAAGTAAATAGATCCGAAACATATAAAATGCGGTTAATCCCGCTGTGGACCACGCTATTATTGCGAAAAGCGGTGAATACAACCAACTATCATGAAGAATTTCATCTTTGGACCAAAAACAAGCAAGAGGCGGAATACCACAAAGGGAAAGTGTACCTAATAAAAAAGCATTTTTGGTAATTGGCACATGTTTTGTTAAACCCCCCATAAGAACC